GTGTGGGCATTCACTGCTATGAATTTTCCATGTAGAACTGCTTTCATTGTGCCCCATAGATTCCTGTACATTGTATTGGCGTTTTCCTTTATTCATAAAAACTGTCTGATTTCTTCTTTTATTTCCTCTGTGATCCATTGATTGTTCAGGAGAGTGTTGTTCAATTTCCATGTGTTTTTGTGAAGTTCCTACAGTTTCTTATGCTATTGATCTCCAGCTTTACTGCACTGTGATCTGATAATATACAGGGAATAACTTCGATTCTTTTACACTTATTCAAACCTGTTCTGTGAGCTAGTATGTGATCTATCTTGGAGAATGACCCATGTGCAGCTGAAAAGAATGTATATTCTGATTTTGTGGGGTGGAACACTCTACAGATGTCTAATAAGTCCATGCATTCAAAAGCTTGGTTCAGTTCTAGTATTTCATTGTTGATTTTTTGCTTAGATGATCTGTCTATTTGTGACAGTGGGGTATTTAGATCCCCCACTACAAATGTATTAGTGCTTATTTGGTTTTTCATGTTACTTAATATTTGTTTTATATAGTTGGAGGCATTTATATTTGTTGCATATATATTTATGATTATCATCTCTTCCTCTTGAATTGTTCCTTTTACAAGGATGTAGTGGCCTTCTTTGTCTCTCTTAATCAGTTTTGGTTTGAAATTTATTTTGTCTGTGAATAAAATTGCTACCCCTGCTTTTTTCTGGGCTCCTGTCAAATGGAGAATTGTTTGCACCCTTTCACTTTCAGTCTATGGGCTTCTTTTTGCAATAGGTGTGTTTATTGTATACAACATATCGTTGGATTTTGCTTCTTAATCCATTCTGCCAGTCTGTTTCTCTTGATTGGTGAATTGAGGCCATTGACATTGATGGTCATAACTGATATGTACTGACTTATTATGGTCATATTATTGTCCTTTTGTTGACTCTTTTTAATTTTTCCCCCTCTCCCTTTAGTTTCTTGCCTTGCCTAATTGATTTGCTCTGTTGGGCCTCATGGTGTTGTGACCTTCATTGTGTTTTTCTAGGATATTGTTTAGAATTCCTTGTAGTGCTGGTTTGGTATTCATGAAGTTTCTCAGGTGTTCTTTGTCATGGAAGTATCTTATTTCCCCATCCATTTTGAAAGAGTTTTGCAGGATACATCAGTCTAGGTTGGAGGCTGTTTTCTTTTAGGACTTGAAATACCTCACTCCAGGCTCTCCTTGACCTGAGGGTTTGTGTTGAAAAGTCTGCTGTGATTCTGATGGGCTTTCCTTTGCATGTGATTTGTTTCTTTTCTCTAACTGCGTGCAGTATTTTGTTCTTCTGTTGGGTTTCTGGGATCTTGACTATTATATGTCTAGGTGTAGATTTCCTTTTTGATCATGGCTAATTGGAGTCCCATATGCCTCACTTCTCTGTATGTAAAATTCTTCCCCTCTGTTTGGGAAGTTTTCTGTCATTAATTCTGTGAACAGCTTTTTTAAGTCGCTTGCATTTTCTCCTGCTACTTCATGGGTTTCTATCAGTCTTATGTTATTCTTCTTTGCATCATCTAGGAGTTGTTGGATCGATTTCTCATGATCCCATACTATTTTTAAGACACCTCTCTTCATCGTCACTGTGTGCTATCCTATCTTCCTTATCTGAGATTCTATCTTCACATTCTTTTATTCTGTTGCGTACACTTTCAATAGAGTTTTTAATCTCCTGGATATCTGTTTGAATCTGTTTAATGGATTCCATTTCTTTCCTATGTTGGGCGCTCAGGTTCCATTTCTTTCTTATGCTGGGCCTTCATGGCTTCTATCATGGTCTGAGCTCATCTATTTTTTTGTCAGTTTCTGTTCTAGAGTCTCGAACAGAGACTCATTTTGCTCACCATCTCTGTGGTTATCTGGGAAATTATTTCTGTTTTGAATTTTTCTACAGCCTGACTGATCTGTTTTGATACTTCCTGTGCTGGGAGTTCTGAGTGTCCTGGTGGTTCACTATCAGACTTTTCATCCTCCTTTGCCCTACTGTTTGCGATTGGTGAACTGGAAGTCTGTGTTTATGTCTTGCTTAAGTCTTTTCTCATTTTTATTTTTGCTGTTGGGTTGTCCTTGATTCAATCTCTGGGTTATTAAATCTTACTGATATCATTGCATTTTAGCTTTTGATTCTCTAACGACTCATAGACATTCTTATTTTCACAATATCAGAGAAAACAACTTGTCAAATCAATCCCTATTCTTTATCCCAATTGATACAATCAGCAACACAATAGGATCAATCACTACTTACAAATTGACCACTTGTCATGGTCAATAATCTATCACCTTTAAACCATGTGAATTAAATTAAAATCAAGAAGCAGCCCAAAATATGTTTGCAGTGAACAAACTCATCAACACAGCATATTTACCATTTAGGATGGGGGCTTAGACAGCGTTAGGATGAGAAGAATAAATAAGAAAAGAACTGGAGAAGGTTTCAAGTGAAGCCAGAGGACACAGAATGACCACACAATCTTTAGGAAACTGCTAAACTCAAAAGGGATAGACAGAGTACAAGTGTAAGGACAAGAATATATCCCCTTAACAGCAATAGGGACTCACTTTCTCTTGAAACTACTGACCCTTGAGTGAAGCACAATAATAGAAAAAAAGAACATTAAGAAAAAAGAAAAAATGTTAAAAGAAAAAACCTGGGTCAGGGCAGGAGCAGGAACAGAAAGGGAGATTGAGGGCCAATATGGTGGAGCAAGAGACTGAATTCGTGAAAGAGGACAGAAAAAAGAACTGACAGAGTGGAATGAGGAAAAGAAAGAAAAGGACAAAAAATGACTTTGAAGGGCCTCTTTCAGACTATATCTCTGATGTCATAATACGTATTGTATGCAACCATGTGCAGAACCAAATCCCCCTATCTCAGCTAGCCGATGGCAGACCCCCGTGACGCAGACTAACCTCAGGCTGCAAGGCCCAAATTGAGCTCCCTGACCTCCTGAAGGGTTGAACTCCAGACAGTTCTACTACAGGTTTCCCCCACCCTTTCTTTAAAGATGTTCAAATTTGGGAGCTCAGAAAATTACCCTTTATAATCAGCTATGCCTCTGTGGAGTGGGTCCAAGGACTGGCACAATCAGGAGGTCTGAGAGCGGCGGGGAGGTGCTCAGTGGTGCCCTTGCAGCTACCTTCCTGGAGCTGGAGCAGCAATGGCAGCACCCGCAAGGGAGGGTGCAGCTACCTGGACCCATGGACTGGGCCCAGGCAGGCCAGAGGGAGATCTGATGTCCAAGCCACTTTCCTGAATCTCACCTTCCTGGCATTGGAGGATCAGCAATCTGATCTCTGTTTCTAATAAATGTTGTCCCTGCATAAACTTTTTTTTTAACCTGATACTCTTCCTATTAACCCAAAGGGGAAATCTATGACAATCTTGTCTATAAGCTCAGTTCTAATACCATTTATTGAATACTATAGCCTTCCTTGTTGATTTGAAAGCCACCTTTATCATTCATTAATTATCTGACATATTTTGTTTTCTATATTTAGTTCCACCAAGTAACCATTCATGTATACAACAAAGCTATTTTATTATAGTTTAATAATATGTTTAAGAATCAATTATGGCTATCTTATCCTCTTTTTTTAAACTTTCCCAACCACTCTTGCATTTTTATTGCCACATAAATCTTGGAATCAGTCTAAGTGTCCCAAACATGCTCTTAGCACTTTAAATTAGATTGTATTAAACTTAGTGATTAACATAGGAATTGTGGTAATGTTATATATTTGGTCTTCCCTGTCCATGAGCAAGACACACTCAGGTGCAGTGGCACACACTTGAAGATCCAGCTACTCAGGAAGCCAAGGCTGGAGGATCACTTGAGCCTGGGAGCTGAACAACCCGAACAACATAGCAATATCCCAATCTCAAAATAAGCAAACAAACAATCCAAAACAGGTATGATTGTACAGTTTGAAAACTGCTTTGAGCTTTGGTTTTTACTGAGAATTTACCTGTTCTTTCCACGGACAGGTCTGTAACACCTCAATTACCCAGCTCTGGTTTCATTCCCATACTGTGCATAACATTGTGGGTCTGTTGAGCCTCAAATTTCCAAACATTTCTACTTAGGTCTAAACCCTGTCATTTGAATTCTGATTCTCATCTGTTTACCCTAAGCTCCTCTTTCAATATTGCTGAGTGAGGAGGAGAAGGGCCATCACTGTAAGTTTTCACTTTTCAGCTGGTGAGAACACTTGGATGGGAATGTATAAGAAGGCACCATCAAAAATGCTTCAGTACAGACACGGCTACACAGAAAATCAGAGCCTCTGCTATACTGTCAGTTTGGTTACCTCACATAGCAGCAACCTGGTATAACATGGTACTATTTCTGAATATTCAGTTTTCAAGACATCCTGTTCCCATTAATACACAGTATATTTCTTGGATATAAAATAACACAAAGACATTTTCAGTGTTATCCTCAAGTGTTACAACATCAAAATACCTAAAGAAAAATTTTAATCCCAGTTTTCAAGGAGTCTAAATGTCATCAAAAATTTTAGCTGAAATTTTCCTGAGGCCTTCTCCAAATAAGGCTCTAGCCCCAAATAGTTTTAGGAAATTTAAAATTTTTCAGTAAGAACCAGGCACAGTGGTGCATACTTATAGTCCCAACTACTTAGGGGGTTAAGGCAGGAGGATTACAAGCTTGAGGCCAGCTCGGGCAATTTAGCAAGACTGTCCCAAAATAAAAAGTAGTGTAGGTATATAGTTCAGCTGTAGAGGGCCCCTGGGTTTGAGTCCCAGTACTGCCAACAGAAAAATTTGTAGTGAGGATTAGAATGTTTGGGGGGGGGTGTTGTTTGTTTGTTGGTTGGTTGGTGTGGGGGTTTGAACTCAGGACCTTGCATTTGCAAGGCAAGCACGGTGCCAGTGAGCTAAATCCCTGGCCCTAGAATGTATTTTTAATAGAAGTTTAGAATGCTAATTTGAGGGGGATATACTTACCTTTTGCCATTTAAGTTCTTGTGTTTCCATAATAATTTTCCCAATCTGCTCTTCATATTGAACTTCTGCTTCCTAAGTCAAAAAAAATTGAAACATGCTATGAAAATTACAACTTTGAGACACTTTAGTTTAGCTCTTTCTAGGGAAACAGAAATAGTATCTATCTCCAGGGAAGCCTAACTACCTAAAGACTTTAAATCGACTATTTTAAATACACTCAAAGAACTAATAGAAACCATGTACAAAATACTAGTCATTTAAAAAACAATAAGAGAATGTTAATCATAAATCAAGTTTATATTCTCAATTGACAGAAATGGACCAATTCTTTAAAAACCACCAACTACCAACACTCAACAAAGATGTCATAGACAATTAAAATAGCCATGTAACCATTAAAGGAATTGAATTTTTAATTTAAAGGTTCTTCAAAAAGAAATCTCCACACCAGGACTATTTCACTGGAGAATTTTGCCAAACATTTAAATGGTAAAATATATATAATATACAATATATTATATAATATAAAATATATCAATTGACCCAGAAAAAAACACTTGACAAAATCCAGTTCCTATTCCTGTTTTTTTTTCCATTGAGTTTATTGATACTTTTTAAGTATACAGTACAGTTACATTTATCAGAGGGGTCTTGTACCTTTTCATGACAGGTCTTAGTTCTCATTTTTTCCCAATACCACTGCCCTCCCTTCACCCCTTCCCCCTCCCCTATTTACAAAGACTTTGTTTCCATTTTTTCCTTTTCTCATACTTTTTTCTTTTCCCTTATTTCCTTTGCCCTACCCTTTCCACTTCCTCTACACCTTTACCCCTTTTCTTCCTATTTCACATTGTCAGTAATAAATTTGGATCTTATTTACAGTTACAGTCTTTCACACCAGAGAAACTATTTGGTATTTACACATGTGTGTCTTATTTATTTCACTTACTAGTATGTCCTCAATATGCATCCATTTTCCTATGAATGACTCTAGTTTCTCATTCTTTATGGCTGAGTAGTACTCCATTTTATAGAAAACCCACTTCCTAGTCATGATTTTTAAAAAGCAACTCTGCAAGTTAGGAATAGAGGAAATTACTTTTACTTTCTATAAAGAGCATTTACAAAACTCTGCAAATAATATGAATTACAGTTAAAGAAACACAGAAGGTTTTTGCTCTAAGATTAGGAACAAAAGAGAGATGTGTGCTCCCCTTGCTCTTGTTCTACATAGTGCTGGAAGTCTGGCCATTGTGAGAAGGCATGAAAAACAAATACACAGACCAGAAAAGAAGAAATGAAGCTGTCTATCTGAGATGACATGAACGCCCATAGAGAAAACCCAAGAAAACCTATAAAGTCTCCCAGATCTAATGAGTTTGGCACAGTCACATGAAGCTGTGCTCTAAGACCAGGTGTGGTGCCTGATTCCCTAACTTCATGTGACACCTATCTTTCAAAACAACCAGGTGAAGTGTGTTTTCTCCCCTGACTTTGGTGGTCAGCACCTGGCCAGTAACCACCTCTAGCCTGTGCAGGAGCTGCATGTGAGCAAACTGATCTGACAAGAATAGCCCAAGGAAATAATGAGTTTTGGTTTTTTTATGTTTTAAGATATTTATTAAATGGCATTAATTTATTTTAAAAACTATTCATTTATTCAATGTGAAAATACAGAAAACTAGGAGCAAGACAAATTGAGTTCCTTCTGGTTATTTTTCTACAAATGTGTTTTATTTTTTTAAAAAAACAATCTTCATGACACTTGTTCTTGAGAGTTGCAGAACTCAGAAACATCTTGTGACTGTGTGATTTGGCTCCATACTGCACTTGGGAGAAGGTACCCAGCGGTCTGCAGCCAGCCACCCAGTCTCCTGTATTGGGACGGCCTCCACCTTCCAATCAGCTGGTTCACCATGACCATGTTCTTTCTCCACCACCACCCTGCCTCTTCACTAACTGCTTCCATTGTGTAGCAGGCAGAGAGTACCTTCTGCATGGTATAAACAGGACAACAGACTGACACAAAAATCAATCACACTTCTATATACTAACAATGAAAATGGAGAAACCAAAATTTAAAATACAATTATAGTCAGGCCAGAGAAATAAAATACTTAAGTCTACACTTTTAAAAACTATGAACAGGATGTCTGCTAATACAGCAACACAGATGGATTAGTACATGCAGAGGGAAAGTACCCTTACCTAAAAGAGCATGTAGTCCATGATTCCATTTCTATGACATGGTAGAACAACTGAACTGAGTGTGAAAAATATCAAAAGAATGGCTACCTCTTGGGGAGGGAAGAGGGGGAGAATATGCTAGGGAAGAGGCCTGGGGGCTTATGGGTTGGTAGAAACATTTTACATCTTGATAAAGGTTTGCTTTATATAAGTCCAAAAGTGCCAAAACTCGTTAAATGTGCAGACAAGATTTATACATTTCATTCTATATAAATGTTAGCATTAAAAACTAAACAAATAGCAAGCTCAATCATAGGCATTTTAAAGTATTTAGTAGGTAAGAAGTACTGAAGTTACACTGATGTCTGCAATTGGAAATAAAAAGAATGAAGTCAAAAGAGGGATCAATATTTGATCAAACAAGTATAGAAAAATGTGAATATAGCACATGAGTCTCCACTGTAAAATGCTTTTGATTCTTCTGTATGTTTGATAATTTTCATAACAAAATGTTGAGGAGAGGTTAAAGAGAAGATATTTACAAACTTGGTGCTTTTTTAAATGAACTCTTTTCCCGGCTTCATTACACACCTACACCCACAGGCATGCATACACAACTTACGCTACACTACTCAAAGACAAACTTTTATGAAAGTTGTCTCATTTAGAATGCTTTCAGCAGCAAGCAACAACAAAACCCAACCCATATGGTTCCTGGGAGTTCTCTCACATGAAAAAAGGACTAAAGGGAGAGCAATTGTAGTATTATTTCAGTGGCTAATTCAACAATGTCATCAAGAGCTGTGATTCTGTCCATCTTTCCTGTTTGCCACTGTCAAAGTGATTTTTCTTAGGCTGCAGAATGGCTACCACAATTGCCAGCATTGGGGGCAGACAGAAGAGTAACCTGAAGTAGAAAAAGTACATTCTCCTAATAAAAGGATAATACAAGTTTCCCAACACACATCCTCCAATCTCACTGCCATAACTAGCATACACACCCTCTCTGAAGCCAATCACTGGAGAGGACACACTTTGGACCTTCATGTTGACTGGTGCCAATGAGAATTTACCTGACTCGCAGTGAGGAAAAGTGAGCTCTAAGATACACTCAGCGGCCTCCAAGCACAGAAGAGGAGAAATGCATGCAAACAGTGCATGCTATGTGAGAAATGAAGTGAGGAGAGATTAAGATCTCTTTCAGTAATATATAATATGTATTATTCTCTTGATGTGGATCAAAACACATTTGCCAGGCATGGTGGCAAATGGCTACAAACCCAGCTACTTGGGAGGTTGAGACAGGAGGATTTTCAGTTCAAGGCCAGATGGCCAGGCTTCGCAACACAGAGAGACTGTCTCATAAAAAAATATTTTTGAGGGTCAGGGATTTAGTTCAGTGGTGCCACCAACTGCCTCAGAAGCATAAGGTCCCAAGTTCAATACCCAAGACCAAAAAAAAAAAAAAAATTGAAAGGGTAATTATATATACATTTGTTGTGGTGTATAGTATACACATCTCTTCCCAAAGCAGCTGGACTGAAAATGGGCAAGATTTGCTTTCATCATGTAGGTGTGGTTATATATTCCCTTTTTAGTGGCTAGAGGAGGTTCTGAGATCTTAACATGATCTACTATTACTACTGTTCTAAGTATTTTATATGTATTGATTCATCTTAGATACGATTTTATAAGGCAGATATCCTTAACTATTGCTATTTTATAGATAAGGAAACTGAGATAGCAAAAGGATAAATAGCTTGCACAAAGTTGCACAGCAGGTAAACAGCAGAGCCAGTATTTGAACCCACATCATTTGTTTCCAGAGTCTCTTAAATTCTACATCATTTTATCTACCGGAGACTGTGAATGCTGCAGTAAAGCACAGACTGTTATGATACATTCCTTCCCTTCAACAACTTCTGCATTCAGCCTTCACAGCCTACAAAACTTATGGTACCATTCAAAATCACTTACCTATGTTAAATATGCAAGTACATTCTGATTTTTGATAGAATATTTCAAGATAAAAACTAGAAACACGTTGCATGAAAAACAAAATAATTTAAGAACTGCTTTGAATGTTTTAATACTAATATTTTTCTATATCAGAAATCATCATAAGGAGATTAAAGCTTTAATCTCCATAATGAGATTGATTCACTGTGAAAACAGCAGTTCAAATACTATTGAGAAAGAGAGTTTCCTAGCAAAGAACATTTAAGCTATCCCATGAATATCAGAGGTATCTATCATGAGCTCTTTTTTCAGGAAATTGGACCAAGAAACTATCTGGAAGAGTACTTAGTATTTTGTTGATAACATGAGAAACTGAACTGAGCAATTTTGTAGGAGTGGATTATGAATTTGGAAAGGACAGTGAAAGTGCTCAGTTACAGTTCAGGCTGCTTGGACATGTGCCTGCTGTATGTACTATGTCCCTAAATCTGTTCAGGGTCAAGAATTGAAGAGGTCTGACCAATACACAGCCCATCTTGTAAAACTACAGCCTGAAGCAAGCACTTTAAAAAAGGATGACACTTTCTAAAGGTTATAAAGAGTAAATAAACCATCAAATTACTCCTCTTTTATTGTTTTTGTAAAAACACTTAAATCCTTGTAGTCCTAAGGCATATAATAAAAATAAACACTTTTAAGATTCTATAGTCTATACTTTATTGAAGTTAGATGGGATTTTCTTACTAAATTTAATATATTTTTCTCATTGACAATTTCACAGGAATTTTTATTAAAAACTTTCAAAAGCTGCTTGAAAAATGGATAAAAGAAAAAAATGAAAATTCCAATAAAAAGGTAAATAATTTTTAATAGAAAGCATAAAATTAAGTTAAAAATCCTAATGTAGTAGAAGCATATATTAGTGC